GGCACATTTTCCTTTACCAGGCGTCACCGAGTTACCCTTCCATGGTTCTCATTTCCCCTCATTGTCACTAAATTGATTCCATCAGACTTATTCATTCTTACCTATCAGGATTTTTATTTTTTCCCTTTGTGTCTGCAAGTTCCGAGACTTTTTAAAATGATTTTTAAAAACTTAAAGAAAAAAAACCTTTAAGAAATTTTAATGATTATCTTGGTCCTCCAAATTAGCTGTTCTCTAATCTCTCAGGTGAAAGTCTTGTTCTATTAGTCCGTGTGCAAATTCTTTTGTGTCAGACATCATGTAATTCAAGACTCTTGTCACACTCCTTGTTTCCATGTCAATCAGGGTGATAAATACTAGATAACATTCTAATTTTTTTTTTTTAAAGCATTGGTTCGGGGATCGTATTAAACCCTTCTGACTGAAAGTAATTGAAACTCATTCAGCTTATATGTGTGTGTATTAGTATTACCTAAAAACATGTAGAAATTAAAGAAGGCAAGGCAGTGCTAGAAACCAGCTACTCTCTTTTTAAATTCAGGGTGCAACCATTTCTTCTTTGTGAATCAACATTCTTCCTCTTCCGACAGGCCACTTGTCCCTGTAATCTGCTGTAAACTTTCTGAAGACAGAGGGCATGATTTGATTGCTTTAAAGAAATTACCTCTGCCTTTGGTGCTCTATTGGACAGAGATCTTCATGCCTGACCATCTCAAGAGAGAGCCACTGACCAGCCTACACGCAGGCCACTTTAAAATAAGTGCCCCATCTTAGATCGAGCAGTGGGCAACCGTGAGCATTGAGAGGGCTAGTGTTTCCTCACAAAAGGCAGCAGGGAAGCCTCCCCCTGACCCAGACATGGGGCAAGCATGGGGCAAGCGGTCATTACCATTTGCGTGTCCTCCACAGTGATCACACAATTAAATATCTCTGAAGACAGGTAGACAACTAAGTCGCATTCATGTGTTCTCGAATGTCTTATTAGAGGAACAAAAGGAAGTTATTACTCCATAAATCAAGGATCTGTTTCCTGCGGAGGAAATGCTTTGACAATAATTCAACTGAAATTCCGTTAAACTAATAGCATGTCCATATTCACGGAATAACACACCAAACCACAAGTTTATTTAGGGAGGAAAAGCTAACACACCTGAGCCACAGAGAGTTCTCCATCAGTATTTAGTTACTTTTTACCTGCTTCTTTTTCTCAACCGGAATGTAAAACATTCTCCTGTAATATAGCTGCACCAAATTTAATAAATAAATTGAGATGCCATGATCCTTGTCCCATCCACTTAGGGGTGAGCAGTTAAGAACATGTGAGGGTACCTTTGAAAAGAATTTAAGTTATGAGTCTATCCAAGGGACTAAACCACAGCATAAAACATCTACTCTTTGACCCCCTGTTTCTAATATTGACAACCTCAAAAATCTTCGACAAGCCTAATTATAAACTTCTGGCTTAATCATATTATGAAAAATTAGAAAATTTGGAAAATCTCTGATATACCCTTTTCTTTGAGGAAAAAAAGTATGTTACACAAGGATTTAGACAACTCAAGCATGGAGTCAATAGCTCTTCCAGATATACTGATGTCCCTAAAAACAGATCTAGGTAGAAATGGCTTTCTAAAGTGTTCAGAATGTGGAAATAGTTTGATACCAATAATTATTACATTTCAGAAAAAATTATGTGGTTTTCTGGTGGGGATACGTAGTAGGTGGTTATTACAGTTACAGCAAAACTTGATTTGGAAGGCTAAATATTAATTACCCTGTATAATTTAACTGTAAAATAATGATATTTAAAATTAGACAATTCTGGTCATTTCTTATACAAAAAAAATAGTGTCAGTGATTGGCAATGCTGATCTTTCTTAATACTTATGTTAAAAAGAGGAGTGTGTATGCATTTATTGGAGCTTAAGTTTTTTCACTGTTGAAAAAAAATATGCCTTGGTAAGAACTCAGTATTCATTTGTGACTGTGTTCTCAATTTGTTGTGTAACTGCTTTCAGATTTAATGCTCTTGAATAATGGTGTTCACTGAAGTGTATTTTTAAGAAATTTCTGTTTGACAACAGTATGGTGGTTACCAGAGGGAGCAGGATGGGGGAGATTGAAAAGAGTAAGGCGGGGGGGGTGTTAAATATATGGTGATGGAAGGAGACTAAACTTTGGGTGAGTACACAATGCACTGTACATATGATGTATTATAATAGTGTACATTTGCAACTTATATCATCTTATTAACCAATGTCACTCTGATAAATTTAATAAGGAAATAGTCAAAAATTATTTATTCAATACCATTTTCAATTAAAGTGCAATTTAGTTAGTCATTCCTTACCTTCATAATACTTACATAATAATATTTTCATCAGTATTAAGATGGATATATGTCAGTCAATGCGATTATCTACCTATTTCATACACATGAATGGATTTTTCTAACTTACATATGCAGACACACAGAATACACACTGACACACAGGAACACTCAAATAATAACTGGTTAGATTCAACCACCTCAAAAACAATGGGAGAAATGACCCTGTATAACTTAACTACAGATCCATGCAGAAAATATCACATGAAATTCTCTCTGCCTTTAAAAATTAATACAACAAAATTTACTTACTTGAAATCTTTCTTATTGAATATGAGAAGTAAAATGATAGAGGTTAGGAGTATGGATTCTGAAGTCAGACAAGTCTGTATGCCTAACTTTGTTTCACCATCTTAACAAATGCTTTCCTGCCCCAAAGCATCTAGACACTGATTTTATTTAGATATCCATCTTTGTGAGATGCTGACCAATTGCACGCTTCAATCCTATTCATTGCAATGCAATCCTGTGGACTCCATCCACATCGCCACTGATAGCTAAGAGTAGACTGATGAGAGGTTTTTAACAAGTACGAAAGGGTGTTCTCTTGAGGAGCTCATCATCTTTAAAGAGAAACACAAGAAAAAGACACTCTTCTTGCTCTGTCACATATGACAGCTTGGAACCTTTGATAACTTTGATTATCAAAAAATAGTGTTAGAAAACTTAAAAAAAACATCTTTAGAAGTGCTTTTATGTGAAGATATATCTAATAGATCTGACTTTTCTATGTGGAGTCAGAATAAATTCAGTCATCTCTTTCAACAAGGAAAATATAAAATCAGAATTGTGAGAAATATGAAATCAGAACTGTGAGTCTGCAAGTAAGGAAGGAATCACTGCAAATAAAAGAAAAAACCATGGGAAACCCAGGGTATTCTGAGAACAACAAAAAAAGATGTGAATGCATCTTTTTTTCTCCTTCCTACCAACTTTTTAAGTTGCTTATCTTTCCTGAGCCAAGATGCAAGTTGCAGGCTGTATGTTAATGAGATCTTAGGTTCTAATTGGCCCTAGAGAAAGAAAAAATGAAGTGAGGCTTATTCTCCTAAAGTAAGAACTTGTATTGTATCTGGGATGAGTCTCACTGGATCCAGGCATGAATGGGAGAGCAGAGAGCTCCAGGGGTAATTATCATGAGCTCCACATGAGTGTGCTAAGTTTTCTTGACCTCTAGGAGCATGTAGAGGAACTAGATGGGTAGA